ATTTATGCCGGCGAATAAATTTTTTATCTCAATGCGTCTACCAAACTGAATGAACAATGCGTTACTTACAAACTTTCATAATTACTAGCCTTTTTAAAAATGTTTTTTGTTAAGTAATGTGACAGTAGAAAGACTTCATGAACTAATTAATAAATCAGAATCTAAACAAATAAATAGAGTCTAATATATATATTAACCAAATGAAATTGAATATAATATTAATATATTAAAATAGTGATCTCATCGATGAGGATTCCTTGAAATTTTGATGATTGTAAACATGATGTCAACAAAATTGGATGATGATGATGACGACGACGATTAAAACATTAAAAATTATAAATATGATAATGATGTCTACATAGTCATTAGCATGGTTCAGTTATAAAAGCAGATCCAACGCCTGTGCTCATATAATATTAATTAGAATTCCATTTTAATGCTTTAATATATTTTCACTACCATTATAGTAATTAGTATGGTTCTGCCATCATCAGCTCTGTCATAGTTACATCACCCATTCAGTCTGCGATAAGTAAAAAAAAAAAAATAAAGACTCTAAAATTTCAGAATAATTTTATTTATATAAAAATCGTAATATCGTCATTTTCGCGTACACTGAATGCCCATTGTTATTATTATGTATAATTTTCTGAAATATCGTTTTACTATTTCTTTACATGCTAAAATAAATTGATATTATATGACCGTACTATGTATAACATAGCACACGTTGTAACGTCATGCGTTTGTACAACATAAACAGAACAACTTTAAGTATGCATAACACTATTCAAAAATTGAATACAAGGCCCACACGGCCCAATATGTAACACATGCCTGGCACGCACAAGTACCAGGTATCAAACCAGGTGTACCATCACCAAACCTTACATTATTTTTAATTGTTTGTTACGGTATATTAATATACTTAATAACATAATATTCCGTACATTTTACACATAGATTGAGGATAGAACACGACAATTATTTTGAGTTAGATTTAGTCACAATTCTGGTACACAACACGACGTCAAACATAGATTGTCACTTATGGAAAGTTAAGACACTCTGTTCTCTGCAGGCTTTAAATGGTTTATGAAGTTCATCGACAGAAAATATTCGACATTTCCGACTCAATGGTACAGGATCAATGTCTGTTCATGTTGCTCTCAATGGTGGCGCATGTAAGGTGTGCCCCTTCCCCCTCACCCCGTCATTAAAAATTAAAAGGATATTTTCGTGTTTTAACTTGTCTCCTCATCATCACTATAATTTAGAATTATATTATCACCATCTCCATAGTCATTATCTGTCATCATCTGCTGTGTCATAGTTACATCACCCATTCATCTTCGATAAGTATAATTATACTGAACATAATGTAAATTCCTATTTCAAAATAATTGTATTATTGCAGCGTCCTCATTTCGTAACATTGAATGACCATGGTGATTATTATGTATAGTTAAATGAAATATCACAATTTCTTAAGGTACTAAAATATATAAATATTATATAACATAGAAATACTATGTATAACACAACACACGTTGATTGGTTGTCAAGCTTTTGTCAACACAAACTGCAATATATAAACATTATACTAATAATACTATACATTATCATATACGGTAGATTTTACAAATAGATTCACGATAGAACACGAAAATTACTTTTAGTCAGGGACTATCCAGGAGGAATAGGGGGGGGGGTGAAGGAACCGTTGGAGCCGTGTTCCCCCCCCCCCACCTTTGTACACAGTGTTAACATTTCAAAGCTTGTTCTTAAGCCAATTCTTTCCTAGTATCACTCAAAATGAATACTTCTAAAGCATGTAAATATGCATCAGTACACGTTACACATAGGCCTAATGGAACACATCCATAAGCGTGATTTGAAAAAAGCAATATATCTCAGGCCAGGTTTTTAAGATATAGAAATGCAATACTGTGTGGTTCAGTTTCGTTTTTATCCTTATGTAAGTTTCTTTTACTAGTAATAATAATGATAATGATGATGATGATGATGATGATGATGATGATGATGATAATAGTAATTGAATAATATTATTAGCAATAAAATTGTGATAAATGCGGAAAAAATTTGTGATTTGTTGATCATAATTATTATAGTATAGTTAAAGCTTATTGTGTTAGGAAAAAGTTGTCCTAGATATTAAGTAGATCCTTGAAAGATCATGAAAAATTTGTTGGCATTTCATTTTGACTATATAAAGGTGATGTGATGATGATGGAGTTTACTACATAAAAGGGTCATTTCCGGCCATATAGAGGCGTACTATTTCCTCAAATTTTCTCGCACCAGCCTCCCCCTGCCCCTTTCAAAACAGATCTGTATCCTTCCCTGGGTATGACATTAAACTCCATCGAGTCGAATCCTGATATATGTCTTAGTGACTGCTGAGGCGAAGGTCCATGCATTTAATTTTTGGATTTGATCTGGTTTTTCCGTGATTATGACTATTTCATGTGATTATGACTATTCTGGATAAAGAATGTTTTGGGAAGAGGTGGATTCAAGGTCTGTCCCTCCCCGCCCCCACTCCCACTCAATTTTTAAGGAATAAAAAGAAAAATATATTAAAAATTTAATCGTGAGAGTATAATTTCCGGCCATCTAGAGGTGCCCTAATCATAATTTTTTTTACCTCAGCCCCAACCACGGTGGGGCTGAGGTGGGTGGTTCCTCGGTCTGTGAAAGTCTCTGCCTGGTTCACCTCTCTTTCGAATTCCTGGATCCTCCACTGCTAATTTATTATATACAAATTGTAGCGCTTATTTATTATGCGTCTATTGCAATTTTCACTTTATCCTCTCAAAACAGTCCTAAGAACTTCAGAGTACGCTCCTTCACATGGGGACTCGCCCCGGATCTCGCCAGGGTCCTACGTAATGGGCATAACGGCTCCCTCACCCCAACCCTTTCAAAATCATGGTTACGTCCCTGATTTTAGTTAGATTTAGTCACAGTTTTGTTACACAGCACGATGTCAAACATAGATGGTTATTTTTGGCTGACTATCTGGAAAGTTAGGACACTCTAACTCTATAATAGGCTGTGATTTAATAAGTTCGGCTCAATGGCATATTCTGAACAACGGAGTGAGACTGCCACCGCTATTTTGTGGAAGTTCAAAGGCATTATCAAAGTAGCATGATCGGAAAACAGCACGCAAGGCATAATTCAGATTATAGTATATATTTACCGGAGTAATATAAATAGGCCTACTATCGAAACGCTAGACATTGTAACATACGTTAATTGTTCGAGTAACTTTGTTCTGTGTACAGTATATACTGTTATATTTTATTCTTAATTGCTGAAATTATGCTATTATTATCTACAGTACAGTACATTGATAAATATATTCGAAAATGTTAATCTGTCTGTTGGTAATATATTAATGTCGTCATCGTTAGTAAGATTATTATCCCCATCAATACCTCGGTTTGTACAAATAATAATCGTTATTATGAATCATATTTTATATCATCGTCGTCTGCACTTTCTCATAATTTTCAAACAATAATCATCAATGTTATTGTTAGCAGCACCATCATCATAATTAATATTATCATTAACGTCCTTTTGTCATTTTTATTTTGTAATTTCATCATCAGCTCTGTCAACATCACTCACTCACTTTGAGAAAAAAATCTATTGAAGAAAAGCACAACCTGTAAATTTCTATTGAAAAATAATTTTATTTACAATATTACAACATCCTCATTAGATACAGTTGTTCCAATTAAGAAATCTTAAAAACATTGAATAGATTATTGTGTACAGCTACCCGAGACATTTCGCTATTTTTGTAACGGTTTAGAAACATATATAAGGTTTTAATACTATCGAAACGCAAGAAAACGTAACACACGTTAAATGGTTCAAATTACTTTACACTTAAGTACAATATAAATTATTTTTATAATTTAATCCACATTGCTAAAACTATATTTTTATCTACAGTACATTGATAAGTTCAGCTTAGAAATTTAGAAAAAAACCCGATAATTTCTTTGATTTAGATTATAAGCCTGTTCTGATGATGCCTGATGCGTTACGCACCACGATGTCAAACATAGATGGTCACCTCTGGTGGACTATCAGGACAATGAAGACAATCTGACTCCTCTCCTTTTGGCTTAAGTAGTTCATCGATAGAAAACATCCGACATTTCTGGCTCAATGACACAGGTTCCATATCAAATGTCCTTGTTGCGTCAACACCAAGTCGTTTTCCATTTTCAGTCGCCGGTACAAACTGTGT